AAAGAATTAATTAATTAAAAATAAATAAATAAAAGCTATTGGGGTAGATGATTTGGGGGGATTTGTTTGCTTTCTGACTTGTTTTCTTTGAAGCATTTTAGAGACAGAATCTCGCTAAATTTCCCAGGCTGGATTCGAACTCATGGGTTCAAGCGATTCTCCCGCCTCAGTCTCTCGAGTAGCTGGGACTACCGCACCGCCGCGCCTGGCTCTTTTTTTTTATGAATTATTTTATGTATTTTTTACCTCGTCGTGTTTTATCGCGTCCATTTTTTCAAATAGTTTCTGAGATCCCTGAGAATCTGCCTATTTATGTTAATACTGGTCCTACGGAGGATACATGACCTGGGCTCTCTGGGGAGGAGGGGGTGGTCTGACTTTACCAAGGGAAAGGTGAGACTTGGGGACTCCCGGACCCAATAACTTGTACTGGCGTCGCGATCTAAATAGTCTTCAATTACCTGAAGGTGTAGTTTAGAAGCCTGTGACTTACTGACGGCGAGGCTGGCGCTAGAACTCCACTTCCCAGGAGGTCTCGGGGCATTGAGTGGCGACTGCGTCTCATGACGGGGCGGGACTCCGATCGCTATCCCGGATGTGGCGCGGAGCTCGCTGAATTTGCCAATCCCAACGCGAGACTCCAGGGAGGCTCCGCCAGTCGCGGCTGAACGGCGCTGGAGGACGGTCGGACTTTGCCGGGTAACATTTATTGCGAACCCCTCAGCCGATCCCCAACTCCGGTTTTCTCCCCTTGAGTGTCCCCATCCCCTGGGACAGTTGCCTTAGTATATATGATACACTCCCTGGATGGAAGGAATTGGAGGGTGCGGCGAGGTGTGTGTCTGTCGGGGAGATTGAGCCAGCTCTTCCTATTTGGGAATCCAGCGGAAGGCACCTTTCTGTCCCAGGCTCACGAGTCCATATGAATGAAGCCCCGGAACCAACTACCCTTGATGGAGAAGGATGTGAGGGAAGTGCCGAACGGGCTTGTGGTGTCTTGATGGGTCACTAGGATTGCGTTTCCTCCGGTTAAGTTTCCAAGTGCAAGATAGTCGTCCCTGGCTCAAGGTTGGGGTGTGTTCACGTGGCTTCTTTCACCCCCGAGTGTCCTAGAATCTCCTTTGACCTGTCTTGAACCAAATAAATCAGTGTTCAATGTGAAAAGCTCCCCCAATTTAGTAGATAATTAAGTTGCACAAAGTACAGTAAATAAAAATGGGGACCTGCTACTGAATTGTTTTGGTTCCAGAAAGTCCCAGAAAGCGATTTTTAGTAGCTATAGAATCAGACTTGTGGGAAGGTTGAGACTTGGAGAATGTGTTAGAAACATACTACTTTGAGCTGCACTCTTGTGTTGACTGTAGTTGGTACTTTTGTATTGTGTGTCTATCCCAGGAGAAAATTGACCACCAGGCAGACTGTGTATGTGAAGGATGCTTTATTAGATGAGATTGGAAGACTTAGAAATAACTGTGATACCAAGATTAACAATATGACGGTGGGGAACCTGCAGCCTCAAGGCCACGTGTGGCCCTCCGGATCCCTGAGTGCATCCCCAAGTGCGGCTCCTCCACCGAATCCAAACTTCACAGAACAAGGCCGCGCTCAAGGATCCAGAAGGCCACATGTGGCCCCAAGGCTCCAGGTTCTGGATTTTGAGGGCAGAGCCGCTCATACGGACTAACTCAGAAAGCAGCCTTCTGGGGTCTCTACAGCTCAGGCCTCTCCCAATTTACAATCCTCTAGGCATACCTAAAGATCCCTGAGCTGCTGTCTATTTCACAGTGCTTCTGTGAGGCTTACTAAGATAAGGTATGTGGGAGTACCTACTACAATGCCTATAACAGGCTCTCAATTTTTAGTTTCCCTTTGATTCCCCAGAGCAACTTTTTTCTTTGTGTATTATTGTTTGCTTTTTTATATAGCTCCTGCATTTGCCACAAAATTGTAAGCTTCTAGCATTCCTAGCATTCGGGGTGTCTTTTTTTTTAAACCCTTTTAAAAATCCCTCCTAGCAGTGCATTGCCCAGTGCAGTATCTGGGAGAGTGGATAGACAGTGGCGATGATGAGGGGAAAGCTGTGCGTGCTCCTTAACGGGACAGCATAATGCCAGATGCTGGAGCTGAGGTAAACAAGCTCTTCTCATATGTGATGAAC